GGTGGTGTGTGTGTGTGTGTGTGTGTGTGTGTGTGTGTGTGTGTGTGTGTGTGTGTGTGTGTGTGTGTCTTGGGCGAAAGCTCCTGGCGGCACTTATCTCAAGCTGCTCCTGGAAGCAGCAGCCATGCCCCCCCTCCGGCTCCTACGTGGAGCCATGGCCAGGTGGCTCTGCGCACTGCCCCGTCCGTAGGTGCTGCCCTGCAGCTCCCATTGGCCACAGCTTCTGGCCAACGGGGGCTGTGGGGGCAGCATGCAGAGCGGAGCCCTCCGGCTGTCCCTACACATAGGAGCTGGAACGAGACCATGCTACTGCTTCCAAGAGCATGTGAAGTGGTCCCTGACCCTGCTCCCTGGCTGGAACGCCAGAGCAGAGCAAGCCCCAGACCCCTCCTCCCCAGCGGGACCTTGAGGGCGGGATTGAAATGGCTGGCAGGACGGATCCGGCCTGCGGGCCGTAGTTTGGCCACCCCTGTCTTAAATGGAGCTTTCATTTCTCTTGCTTCCCTGACGGGCAGGTGGAAGGGGCATGGAAAGAGAGAAAAGACTCCTGTTGAAAAGAGAATCTTTTCAAGTGGTACTCCCTCCGGCCTCTCTAGCTGCTCTGGATATATAGTCAGGGGTTTTCTTGAAAAATTAAAAAATATTACATAAATTAAATCATATTTTAAATATCAGTTGAGCCCTGTTTAATTAAACTTCATTCAGCAAAATCAGCAATGATTTTAATTACTATTATTTTTAATTTGGTTTCCCTTCTTAATTTCTTATATAGAACTTTCGTTATGAATTTTACTCCCACCTGTTTATGCTCTCTGTATGTGTGTATATATATCTCCTCAATATATGTTCCATTCTATATGCATCCGAAGAAGTGGGCTGTAGTCCACGAAAGCTTATGGTCTAATAAATTTGTTAGTCTCTAAGGTGCCACAAGTACTCCAGCTTTCCTTTAAAGTTTCTAAATTCATAAAAATTATTTGAAAATCAATAATTGAAATCAAAGTGAAAGAATTAGCTTTTGAGGAGGGATTTGAAGGGAGAAAGTGAGGGCACTTGGGTTTGGTTTACACTACCAACTTAGGTCAGCATAACTGTCACTCAGGTGTGGAAAATCCACACCCCTGAGCGACGCAGTTATCTGACCTAACTCCCAGTGTAGAAAATGCTATATCGTTAGAGTTTCTCCCATCAGCATAGCTACTGCCTCTCAGGGAGATGGAGTAAGTATGCCCAAGGGAGAAGCTCTCCTGTCAGTGTAGGTAGTGTCTTCGCTAAATGCTACAGCAGCGCAGCTGCAGTTGTGCTGCTGCAATGCTGTCAGTGTAGAAAAGCCCTTGGTTTTCAGGAGAGAGGTGTCGTTGCAGATGTAGGCTGTAGTGTATTGGGGGAAAAAACCACAAAGGTGTAAGTGGGAGCAGGAGACAAAGGGAATAATGACGTGAGGAATGGTTTGATCACAAGCTGACATGAGATGCAGAAACGGGAGCTTTAACAATGGGGATGAGCAATTACAGCTTTTCAAAGGAAGAGACAAGGAACTAGTGAAGGGACTTGAGAAGGGTAAAGATATGACTGACATGGCAAAAAGATTTTTATAGCTCTTTTATGTTGAAAAGGTGAGAGATGGAAAGACCGGAGGGGAAGAGTTTACAGTGGTCCAAATGAGAGAGAATAGTGGTATGAAACAGGTTGTGATAATGGGGATTGTAGAGAGAGAGAGAGGCAGATTTTAGAAATGTTACAGCAGAAGACATAGGTTTTGTCAATATTTTTGCATATGAGCGGAGGACAAAAATGGTGCCAGGGATCTTCAAGATTAAAAAAATTGAGAGATGCGGGGGGGTAGTGGAGTTGTCAGTGATGGAAAAAGGAATTAGGAGGAAAGATGAGAATCATTTAATATCATGATAGAAACCATATGCAACAACTATGTACCACTCGTAGGCAATTATACATGTCAGTATCTCTCTCTTGCAGGTGAATAGTTCAAAGAATTGCAGATCTCATCAGACAGCAAGACCCTTGCAGTTATGTGATACTTCTCTCAGGCTTTTCTTTAACACACATGTGTTAGCTGATGTCATCTTCCAAATACAAGGTATAGTGTGTCAGTTTTTCCTTGTGTTTTCCCCCCTATCTTAATCTTAAATATTTTAGAGACTGAGTAATATCTTCTGATGTTCTTTCCAGAAGGAGATTGTGAAAGGAAAACGCCTTCTTGATTTTTAGTTTGTAGTGTTGTTGTAGCCATGTTGGTTCCAGGATATTAGTGAGACAAGGTGGGTGAGGTAATATCTTTTGTTGAACCAACAACTCCTGTTGGTGAAAGAGACAAGCTTTCAAGCTCTTCTTCAGCTCTGGGAAAGGTACTCAAGGCTTGTCTATATTTAAAATGCTACAGTGATACATCTAGTATTTAGCTCTGAGGCTCTGAGTACGTTTCCCAGACGTGAAGAAGAGCTCTGTGTAAGCTTGTGTCTCTCACCAACAGAAATCAGTCCAAAAGATTGGTTAGCATAAATAGTTAGCACATAATATAAGGGACTGTAACAGGGCGTAGCAGGGCCCCTCTTGGTTCTGCCACTGCTCCAAAAATTACTCAGAGACCTTCTGGCTCAGCAGTCACTGGTGCACTTTATTTACACAGTGCAAACCCACCACCTCTTACCACATATCGCTGGGGTTCCAGCCTTAGGGGCTTTTCTTTCTTGCAGCCAGGAGGGAATAGCTACCCCTCTTCTTCCACACTCTGGCTTTCCCCCCCTTCCTCCCTCTGAACCTGTATATAGCCCCAGGCTAATCAGCCTGGCAGCTGTTCTGACTCTGCCAATCAGGCTCAGGTACCTTGAGTCAGCTCCAATTCACCTACCTTAATTGGAGCTGGAGTGACAGAGGGCTGGCTCAGCAATTCCTGGTCAGCACCCTGTCACAGGGACCATTCAAGGGGAAGTGGCCCATTAACACCCGTACAGTCATAGGACAAAAAAGAGGAAGTAGCATATTACAGATAGTTGTAATAAACCATAAATCCAGTGTCTTTTTTTAAGGCCATGTTTTTTAGAGTGTAGCCAAGTTATGAATTTAAGCTCCAAAGCTTGTCTTTTGAAGGTGTTGTGCAGGTTTCCTTTGAGGATGAGGCCTGAGAGGTCATATATGGAGTGATCGTTTTGTGAGAAGTGATATGATGCGAAACGGTGTTTGTCTTTTATAATTTTTCTGTGTGAGTTCGTTTGAGAGTATAGTGATTGTCTGGTTTCACCCACATAGTTGCTTTTGGGGCATTTAGTGCACAGACAAGGTACACCATATGTTGTGGTAGGTGTGCATAGGATCCATGGTCACCATATAATTTTCCAATAAATTTCCACAGAAAAAAAACTTTTCTGAAAGCCAGTTATTAGCTTATTAAAAAAAACAGCCCATCCAAATACTTTAAAATAAGGTAATGCCCCGTTCAAGTATCCATTTTAACATTTGCCAATCCAGACACGTTGCATTCGCTACTTTTCAGACTTTGCCCCACTATGATTAAGTCCCATACACCACCAACAGGTACAGTAACACTATACACACACCACATTCCCCACAACTGCACTAGGACACAAAACTTGAACTCACCCTGGAAAATAACACCCCTCATACTTTTTAATGGAAAATAATACATCATACACTTCTTTAATTCAGATATGTACAGCTGAAGTTGGGATTAAGGTTTTGCTTTATAGTGAGCAGTGTGCTGTTTGTATTATGTTGCTGTATGTATTGTAGGTGAAGACTTAATAAACATTAAATATTTTAAATTTCTTGATTGTTATTGAAATGACTGGGAAGAGTACAGGCTAGCTCAGAGGTGGGCAAAACTACGGTCTGCGGGCCACATCTGGCCCGTGGGACCCTCCTGCCCGGCCCCTGAGCTCCTGCCCCGGGAGACTCGCCCCCAGCCCCTCCCCTGCTGTTCCCCCTCCCTCAGTTCTCCCCGCCACCGGTGCAATGCTCTGGGCGACGGGGCTGCAAGCTCCTGGGGCAGCACAGCTGCAGAGCCATGGCGACCTGGTGTTCTTTGCTGAGCGGTGGCGTGGCTGGCTCCAGCCGGGCGGCACAGCTGCCTGCCCTGCTGCTCTGGGCGGCGCAGCTGTAGCACCGCCAGCCACCAGTGCTCCAGGCAGCGCGGTAAGGGGGCAGGGAGCAGGGGGGGGTTGGATAGAGGGCAGGGGAGTTGGGGGTGGTGGTCGGGACGGGGGGTGTGGATAGGGGGTCGGGGCGGTCAGAGGGTGGGG